TTTCAGTGAATATAACAAAAAGTTATTTTTATAAAAGTTACCTACTGCAGCTTTAAAGTACCAAATGTCCATAATTTATCAGTCAGTTGTCAGTTTGTATCTTGTATTAATAATGTGAACCGGCAAAGTAACTAACTACTAACTAAACCTAATGTGGTGCTGTAAATAGTACAATATTTCGACAATCGACAAAAATCCCTTTTTGTCGATGGAACCATGGTGATGCTCACTTCTAGGTTGGACAACAAAAATACCTCATCCCATCATCGTCATGAACACTGAGAGCCCTCTTCTTTGTACAATGTCACAGATACCATCACTGAGGCATGTAAAGTGCACTGCACATTCACCTGACATACACTATTATTTATCAAAACTAGAAAGCTCTTTTTGTGGTTTCCATTATCAAACACTACGACAGCTCTGTCTTTTTGGGTTGAAAATAGCTCGTAGGAGAAAGGCAATACAGTCCTCACACACTGAAGCTAGCTGGCTACACTTTCCCAAAAAGGCTTGGAAACATGCACTCATGCTTAACAAATATCATACGTCATGCTTGCAAGGCCCCAGTGGCAACCGGCATCATTTTAAGTATGCTTGCAAGGAAGGGGGCAAAACTCTTTAGGAAATTAGGCATCATAAGCATAATAATATAGATGATATATGTCTTTGCCTGCTATGCAAATAATCACATTCTTCAAGTCTGTGGGCGTGTATCCCTTTACATGCAGCTGCTTCAGAGCTGAGCTACTATAAAACGTTTTGTGCCGTTCACATTCAAGTAAAAAAAAAACATGCACAGATTTCTTTTTATCTTTTCTCTTAAAATTGCAGTTGATTCCACATTCTGACACTTGCAGCTAAGGTTTTTAGCTGAAGCTCCAGTGCAGGGAACAAGTAATAGAATTGTTTAAATACTTCTAAATTCACTGTTAAATATCTAAAACAGAACATGTTAGGCTATTATACAGTATGATCCTACAAATTATAACTAAGCTAAAACTTCATTCTTGACCATAGAAATACAAAACAATGCCAACTCAAGGTCTAATTAGGGACTGTACAAAAATATGTAAAGTTTTTTGAAAAGAATAGGGAAAAAGAGGCCAGGCCCCCTGTATTTCGAAGGTTAAGGCTCCAAACACAAGCCGCAATGTCCCTTATTCACCTGTCACTCAAAGAGCCCACACCCTTAATTATGCATAACTTTAAGCCTTAATATAATTCAAAGGGGTGAAAATGGACCCCTGTACAGTTGTCATGAACAGGAATATTAGCTGAACCAGGCTGTAAACATGTTTATTTCACCTGTAAAGTTGGGCATTTTAATGTTTGGCCTTATGGAGATTGACTCACTGCTGGAGCCAGCCTCAAGTGGCCATTAGAGGAACTGCATTTATTACTTCAGGTCTATTCTGTCATTTCCTGTCATCTTTCTGCTGTCAGAATCTCTAATAAAGGCCCTCTAATGGACCCTCTCCTTGACTCAGACAATAACACAATACTCCCCCCTAAATTAATATATTTATGGCAAACATAATAAAATGATAAATATTCCAGCCAACTGCTGGCTGGCTGGCTGGCTGACTGCCAAAAAGAAAAAATACATAGCCCATACTCTTTTCTGGCACCCATGGCATCCCTACAGTCCACTACACTTTGCTAGAGCTTTCATCTGCCTCCCACAGTCCTTCAGGGATTATGTGATAGGGTTGAAAGCTCCAGAAAAAGCAAGTGGAGCTTGAGTTGGACTTTTTTATTGTTATTATTATTATTATTATTTCACAGCCTGTCCACCCCACTGCTGTCTGGCAAGAGATACAAAAGTATCCACAGCCGTACCACCAGACGTAAGCACAGCTTCTTCTTTAGCAGAGAGACTGCTAAATTCATCCTCAGCACTCCATCATGAAAAATTGTTTTTGTATTTTGTTTCTTGACTTTAGAATGTTTGTATATAAATATATATTTTGTTTTTATGAGTAGCACAAAAAGTTATACAAGCTTTTGTTGTAAAGATGACAAAGCATGGTGAGAAAGGGCCTGATCGCGCCCCACAAGCTTTAACGTGAACAACAGGAAGTGCAGCATACAGCAGTACAATCCCCATCTGTTAAATGTCTCTTTTCTCCTGGTCCTTTCTTTTTCTTCAGAGGTCTGAGGAGCTGCAGCTCTCATCTGCTTCTTCTCACAAGCATAATGGATTCCTTGCATTCTCTGTCCTTTCTGCCATTAGTCCCTCTTTGTTTGTCCCGGTTTAGTAACCCACCCCTAGGACTTTTTTCATGTGCTCGTACACCACGTAGGAGATGCTGACGGCTGGAATGACTTTGAGGAAGTTGGGGGTGATGCCGCGATACAGGCCCGGCACACCTTCATGAGATATAATGTATTTGAACTGGCCCACCATGGTCAGCTTGGGTATACCCTCAGTGGTGGCTGAAATAAGAGAAACAATGGAGGTTACATATAAGCAGCAGATTCATTGCTGGGTCATTGTTCATGCTGTGTTTACAATAAGTCTGTATCTACAGTATACCTAACCTTGTGCCTGCATACGTGTCCGAATGAGAGCGAGGGGGTAGGACGCCAGCTGGCCGCAGGTGCTGGAGATGGTACCGCAACCCAGTAGGACCAAAACTCCTGGATCTGCTGAATCTACACAGTACCTCTGGAGCCAGGCGTTCTTTAAAGTCTTAAAGCAAGAGCAGTTAGAATATTAGAAAATAATGAATGAGAAAGGAGGGAAGTAGGGTTATAAAAGGTAAGAAAAGGGAAGAAAAGGGGGAAATTAATACAATTAATTTATTTCATCATCACATCATGGTTGCCTTAAGCTAGCTAGCTGATTTGACAACTGCCTCAAACACATGGATGAATCAATTCTAAGAACTATGAGACAAAAGTGTTTTTTCACTCCTGCTGTAGTGCTGCCTCAGATACTGACTAGAGCACCAATTATTAATCTTCTGCTGAAAATAGTCCCCAACAAATGCACTATTTCCTCCTGTTTGAGTAATGTTTGATAACAGCTCTTCCAGGAAATGACTGAGACCTTTTTAAAAATGAAACTATATTTCTATAGCTCTAATATAGGATTTAAGAAGGGCTTCAGTATGAACCAATGGGCTTGGAGCTGAGAGCCACAGACAGGTTAGAGAAGTTGGAAAGTATTAAGGGTCAGACTAAAGAAAACAGAGAGCAATGGCTTCCTACTTGGGAGGTTGATACTTTTCCCTCAAACTAACAATTTAATGAGCTAAACATATTATTTTTCTGGTTCAGACCTCTTATAGTTATCTTGTGTGGTTACCACTACAGTACTATACACATTGTGGAGAAGACTTACATTAAAAAAGACACACACACCTCATACACAGCCAAGTCGATGCCAGCATAGGGGATGATGCCCAGAGTATTTGGCAGGTAGCCCCTGTAGAAAGCCCGGACTCCCTCCGTCTTTAGTATCTGTCTGGCGCAGTCAGCCATACCAGAGTACTGTCCTGTTTTCCTTAACGTAAGACGGGTCTTTAGCACCTACCAAGGTAGAATAACGCAATGAAAACAGGAACAAGATACTATTCTCTTGTTGGACACAGGAGGAGACAGAACTAGACTTCATATTCTTTTATTTACAAAGGAACAGCATGTTTTTCATCCATCATGTTCTGCTGCTTATCTGCGTCTGGGTCACCACAGCGTTCTAAGCAAGTGTTATCTTGTAGTCTTATTTGTATGCTTTATCATTATGCTGCTACTTGCTTCAATTAAAAGAAAACCACTTCCGTTCATGCAGAGCAGAGGAAGCTATGCTATTCACACACCCTGCACAATAAGAGGGGAGCTGACTGACTGACTTAAAGCGGCCCATCCTTAATCCAATAAGACGTGATGCTCGGATGCCAACCTTGGTTAATGAGTCTTACATCTGAAGAATTAAAATTATGCTTGTATCGTCTCAGAAAGCCCTTTAACAGTCCTCTATTAGCGACCTATCTTATCATGAACTTTCACAGTTACAGAAACTGTAAACTGACCTCCATGGGGTAGATGATGGTCTGGGCAGTAGCTCCTGCCAGAGAGCCAGCAATGAACCTCTCTTGTACCCTTAAACTGCCCCCTTCTTTACTGCCTCGGATGAGCCACTTGATCTAGAGTAAGACAAGGAGATGGAATGGTAAATGGACCTGTACTTCTATAGCGCCTTTCTAGTCTTGCGACCACTCAAAGCGCTTTTACACTACGTGCCACATTCACCCTTTCACACAGCGATGGCAAAGCCCATCAAACAGAAGCTAATGCATTCATACACATTCACACACCAATGCACGGCATCAGGAGCAATTCGGGGTTCAGTATCTTGCTCAAGGATACTTTGACATGTGGCACCAGAAGCCGGGGATCGAACCAACAACCTTCCGATTAGGGGATGACTCGCTCTGCCTCTGCGCCACAGCCGCCCCATCATTGTAATGATAGATGAAAGCAAATTTAGCCATAAAAGAAAGTTATGAAAGTTACTTAAACACTTATGAGTATTACTTTGATGCCAAATACATGATTGTGTCTAAAAACGTGTATTTGATGTTGGTTAAGTCTGTGCTAAACTCAGCTACTGAAAGTAGAGACAATATACATATTAAAACCTGTTTTTGCCTGAGGTGCTTGGAGGTGTATCTCCTGTATCTAACCCTAACCCTAACTACTGCATTATGGAATGAGATACATTGTAGTTCATTGATGCAATCAAGGGGAATGTCGGTTTTAAGAAACCACATTGTTCCTACACCCCAGAACAGTTCAATATTTGTAAACATGCACCACTACTCCAAAGCTAGAGAGAACTTTTGAATTTTTGACTTATGATTTATTCTCTCCCATTTCCCACCATTATTGCAGAATGATTGTATTGTAAGTGCCATAGTCCTCATTTTGAAGTATTTGCCCTTGTGAATTTCAGTACAACAGCAACAGGAGTTCCTGGGTGTTCGGATTGCTAGGGATTAAGGATGACAGGAGGAGACCCATTCTTAAGATTGTGCATCACCGCTCAGCCAGGCATCTCTTGCCTCTAATAAAGAAGCACGTTCGTCGTGGAAGCTCAATAATTTCCGATGGGTGGAAGTCTTACCGCCATCTTCAGGATGAAGGTTACAATCACCTGACTGTCAACCATCAAGATTTTTTTGTCGACCCTATTACAGGTGCACATACACAAAACCAGGAGAGATTTTGGGGTATTTGCAAGTCAACTATCTGGAGACAAAGAGGGAACCGCACACAAAAACTGTTGAGGGATCACTTAAATGTATTTGAGTGGACTTATTGGCGTGGAAACCATCACAGTAACGGAACACTTGGAATGCTTTTGCATGACATTAGGAAAAAATATCCAGTATGAAACCTGTCTGAAATGTAGATAAAGATATCAAATTGATATTTATGCTACCAGTCAAAAGTTTTGACACACTAAATGTACTGTTACCTCTGAGAAAAAGGCTATCATCATGGACATGAAGGCCAAATGCCAACTCCTTCCCTTGTTAAAGTATTAAAATGCAAGTGAGCTTCTTTGTTCAGTTAAAATTCTGTTATATTGTATTGGAAAAGTGAGATATTTGTGCACAGGGGAAATAAATCACATGATGCAGTAATTATAGAGCAAGTTTAGGCTGTGAAAGTGCAATGTTTGTACAGTTTGGTACATTTGTTCTAAGCGTTGACAAGTGTAGTTTAGCTGATAAAGAGCAAGTTCATGTTGAGCTGTGCAGGTTTTATATTTTTTAGATTGTGCAATATTTTGTATTTGTACTTAATATTGTGCAGTATTTTATATTG